TACCTCACATGTGATTATTCATAAGCCAGAGCTAATCTTTTTCTCTGACCAGGGCCACCAATGCCCTCTAGCCCTCTTGTTACAGTTCTGGTCTTTTCTAAGTGTTTTATGTATCCTCTTACTGTGGGGAGGCAGTTCCAAAAGCTAGCTGAAGACCAATCATTCTTTACTTCCCATCCCTTAAATAGAATTTGCCCAGGGCAGGAATTCTCCCGCCTCCTGGAAAAATACCAAATTTGAGATGGATTCCAGCACCAGTTGGCATGGTCAGATCCATTTACAGATCATTGTCTTGAGCTCCAGGCCTTTAAGTTCCTTAAGTACTATGAATGGTTTTCACTGAAAGACCTAGAATAAATAAAACAGTTTTCCATATAATATTTCTAATTTAACATATAAGAATAATACATACACACAAATGGAATATACACATTCAAGGGATTACAGGCTCTTGAATGATTGATTCAAACCAGGGAAAGTAATCTATCATATTTCAGTTATGAATATTCCTATTCATACATATTTCAATAAAAGTATGGGGGTATAGAATCACAATAATGCTGATTGCTCTTTGTTTACAATGTCACCTGAAAGTGAGAATTGGCATTCTCAAGGCATTATTGCTGGTGTTGTGAGATTTGTGCCAGATGTGCTAAAGAGTCATATGTCCCTTCATGCTTCAACCACCATTCCAGGTGACATACTGATGATAGATTCTGCCCAGTAACAATCCAAAGCTATGAAGACTGATGCATGTTCCATTTTCATGTATGTGAGTCGGATGCCACTAGCAGGTTGATTTTCTTTTTTCGTGGTCTGGTTCTGTAGTTCCACAACAGTGTGCTGTTCTTTTAAAACTTCTGAAAGCATACTCAACTTCTTGTCCCTCTCAGATTTTGGAAGATACTTCAAACCGTGGGTCCAGAGTTGTAGCTATCTTTATAAATCTTACACTGATATCATCTTTTAGTTCTTAAAATGAACTACGTGTTCTGGTTCATTATCCAAAACTGCTAAAACATGGACTATATGGCAGAATGTGGGTAAAACAAGGCAGGGAGCATACAAGTCTCTCCCAAGGAATTCAGTTACAAATGTAATTAATGCATTTCTTTTAGCAAGCATCATCATCATTGAAGCATGCACTCTGGAATGGTGGTAGAACATGAAGGGGCATACAAAAATTTAGTACACCTGGCATGTAAATACCTTGCAATGCTAGCTACAAAAGTGCCATGCAAATGCCTGTTTTCACTTTCTCACGATATTGTAAGTAAGAAGAGGCAGTGTTATCTCCTGTACATGTAAACGCATTGGTCTTTGTCATTGGCTGAACAAGAAGGAGGACCGAGTGGACTTGTAGGTTCTAAAGTTTTATAGAGGTGAAAGGCTCTGTATCCTATTCCAATTCCCTAAGCCAGGGCCATATAGTATATATGTTATCTTTTTAGCAATGGATCTTCTTAAAAACAAAACTGGCATGTTGACAAGTCTGGGAAGGCCTTTTTTAAAATTTACATATTGCCTATTTTTTGTTTGTTTTCCTATGCACTTGGGCTCTCTGATTTGCTGTTATATGCTACATTCTGGTGGGTAGATTTGCTGAAGCTGGTTTTGAAAATTGGAATGCACCTAAGAGAAAACAATTCATGATGTACTGGATCTAAAGTAAAACATGGAAGGGGGTGTGCTATCAAGATTGCACTTCATTCTGGCATAGATTTTTGACACGGTTCATATTGTAACAATTTCTCTGGAGTATGTAGGTGTTGTAAAGCAAATCGTTCAGATGTAATGTATCTTGCTTATCTGTATTCTGGAAGAGTTCACTAGTAAGCAGATCAGTTGTATTTTGCTTTGGGTATTTGAGAATTCATTTATTTTAATTATTTAAAAACTTAGGATTTTAGGGTTTTTATTTTAAGAAGAGCCATTATCCAAGGCTTCTTTCCACTATGTGGTCATACTTTTGGCTGCCAATTTTTTCTGATTGTTTTAGTATTAAATGCTCTTTAAATCGTAGTGTACCTTCATTTTATTGTAGAGTCTAGTTTTGTATTTTTCTTCTTTAATATTTTACCTTGAGACTCTGATACAGAAGGACATGTCGTATCATGGGACCACTCACATGCTTAATTTGTTTACTTTTTTTTATGGTTAAACATTTACATTCCTTTAAATATTTTTGTTGTAATCTATACAGTTGGTTTACATTAACATTCCTGTCTTTTCAGGATTTGCATTAATCAGTGGTCCCCAATGCAGTGCCTGTGGGCACCATGGTGCCCGCCGGGCCATTTCTGTGCGCCCGCTGAGTGAACGGGGCTGAGGCACATGGTGCATGGGCGGTGCCAGCCTCCTGGGCACATGGCGTATGGGCAGTGTCGGCCCCGAGCATGCAGCACATAAGCGAACCCGCCCCCGGATGCGCAGTGTTTGGGTGGCCCTGCCCCCGGCTGTGCAGAGCAAGGGCTGTGCCAGCCCCGGGCACGTGGCACATGGGCGTTGCTGGCCCCTGGCACAGGGTTTGGGTGGCCCTGCCCCTGGGCGTGCGGCGCAAGGGCTGTGCCGGCCTGTGGGTGCGCAGCCCAAGGGTGGCGCCAGCCCTGGGCGCACGGCACAAGGGTGGCGCCGGCCCTGGGTGCACAGCACAGGAGTGGTGCCGGCCCCGGGCATGCAGCACACTGGTGGGCACGGCATATGGGCAGCCCCAACCCTGGGCGCATGGCACAGGAGCAGCGCCGGCCCCAGGAGTAAGGCGCATGAGTGACGCCAGCACTGGGCGCACGCCATATGGGTGGCCCTGCCCCCAGGCATGTGCACGGTCCTGCCCCTGGGTGCATGTGTGGCCCCGCTCCCGGGTGCCCAGCGTGTGAGTAGCTCCACCCCCGGGCACCCGGCAGCTCCAAAACGTTGGGGACCACTGCATTATGTTATATATTATTTAAAAAATACCTAAAGATCCCAGTCACGATCACAGTCCCATAGTGCTGAGGTCTTCAGAACACGTAAAAAAAAAGATAGTTCCTGCCCTGAAGAGGTGATGGTCTAAATAGATAAGATGGACAAACAGGAATGGACAAAAACTAATAGCCAAGAAAAATGATTTTTTGTGTATATATGTATGTGCTTTTCTTCACAGCAGTTTTTTTTAATGTCCTTTGAGCATTTTTTATACCTTTTTTTTTTTTTTAAAGTTCTCCTAGCTACTGGAAGTTGATACAGGATTTAGTGTGAAAAACAAAATCCCTACGTTTGAGGTCATATCATTATACTCATTGTAACGTCTGTATGCCATCAGCATCTGAGACTGCAGGAACTTAACTGCTTTACTGTTGGCATAATACTGAAGTTGATTTCAGTGAACCATAAACAGTTTGGCCCTGGGGGTAAAATTACACTGTATGCATGTTCCTAACATACTGCTTTGGGGATAAACATGTCTTAAATCAACTCATTGCTTACAGCTAAGTTCTCTCTCCTAATGCAGTTTCCCTGTAGATAGTAATGTTTAGTGTAACTGATTTTCTTTAAAACCGTAAAGCTTTTTGAGTGTTCAATCAATAAATATAGTGGAACAGAATATAAAAAAATCATGTAATCCTAGTAAAGACTTTTTCTAGAGCATTTTTGTTTTGTTTTTAATTAGCTTTCATCAATACATTTAATTCATTGACTTTGTTATAAATGTTTGTGTACTACATCTGTTCTTGTGCACATAATGAAAACTTTCAGACTTTACTGAAACTTTATTTGGTAATTGTGCATTTGGAAAATTAAAATTGAAATTTATTATGCCCTGGTTCCTACCTGCTTAGTTCACTGTGTTGTTAAGATGTCATACTTGAGAATTCTGTTATAGCTATGTTTCTGTTGTGTTTTAATGTGCTTTGGATGGCTGTAATTGTGGCCTTGAGGGATTGCATTAAGGAACACCAGGTGGGTTTGCACCCAGATATTCTTAAGTTAATATTTTGGGACTTCACTCTTATCCTGTACTTTAACTCTGGAATTTAAGTGTAGTTCCCTGAGTCTTAAAAGGGGAGGAAAGCCACATATGAGCTTCTTAACGAGCACACACACACACACACCCCTTTTGGAATTTGCCATATTTTCTTTGCTTCTTTGGCCAATGAAATCCAGACATTTACTTCAGAACCATTTTTACATTCCCATCTGGACTAAAGCATTTTCGTTTGTTCCCAAATTTAACTCAAAAACTGATAATAGAAAGTTTTCTTTCCCTTATATGTAGATGAAAAAGTCACCTAAATACTGTATTAGGCAAACTTTTGAAGTTAGAATATCTATTGTTAAATTTGAGAGTCTTGTTGCCTCAGTCTTTAGTGTGAATAGAAGGATTTTGTTTTTAGGGTGGATCTTTAAAATAATTCACTTTGTTTTAGGCTAAAAAGTCAGCTTTATTTCTCCTTAGAGAATGCAAACCTCAACCTCCACACCCCCAGTGTAGGGGATGGTGGTTCAGTTCTTCTATTTATAATACCTTTTGACTTCTCTCCCCTGCTTAGTGAATTGAAATGGCAAGGTAACTTTTGCTCAGGATGACTAAAGAATCTGCTCTCTGTGTAGCTCATGAAGTGAACCTACAGGTTCAAGAGGGTTTCAAGGAACCCTGCTTATGGGAAAATGTTTTAAAAGTATTCCTTTGCAAAAGAGAGCCTTTTTTTGTACCCTTGAGTATTTGTTAATTGGTCATCATCCTTAGTTTTGAGCTACATAATTATTCACACAGCAGCAGGTGGTAGAGGCACAGGTACAGTTCGGATTTCTTTGTACTGAAAAGTAGCACATTCTGAGAGGAAAGGAGGACCCGTTTTCATAAAGGTGTGTGTTCTGTAATTATTTGTTTAGGGAAGAACATAGAGCAAATATGCACTGTTTTTTAAAAAGAAGCAGTTGGACTAGCCCAATTCCAAGATTTTTATGAATAGATTAGCAGTTTCCATAAGTGCTTTAACTTCTGTTTTTATTTTTTTTAGATCATTACTAGATATGTCTATGAACTACTGGAAAAGGAATGCAACTTGAAAAAAGTAACTCTCCCAGTAAGTCAAATTTTTTTTCAGAGATGATATTTCCTTGGCACTACAAAATGCATAAATAATAACACAATCCCTCCACTGAGAGGTTTGGAATCTAGATGTCAGATACAGATGAGAGAAGCAGTGCTCAGGGTGTAGTCAAGGTGCTGGCTTGGACCACAGTACTAAACAGTACTAAACATGCTGCATGTTCATTGATACATAAAGAAGTATATAAAACCATCTGTCTGGTTTTGTAATATATCTAAAATTTTAGTGTGAATAAATTTAACTGAGTCTTAGAACACATTTCTAGTCTGGTAGAATCTGAGATATGAGAACTTCAAAACTGTGATATTTTTGGTATACAAAAACTGTCACTTTGATAAGTGTTCATGATTCTCCTGAGACCTGTGCAGTTGTGCTGAGGGAACTAAAGGCAGGAAAATAATGGTGGATTCTCTGTAACTTGAAGTTGTCACACAAAGTGTTGAGGATATAGGTAACTCAACCAGAGATTATGGGTCTATTAATGGGTGAGGTTGTGTGGGCTTTGGTATGTAGGATGTCAGACTAGATGATGATCCCTTCTGGCCTGAAAGCTTATAAGTCAGTAGCTTTACAGGCAGAGGAGAGGAGCAAATAGTCTCACTAACATATTTCATAATTTGTAGAGATCCTCGTATTGTAGTTGTTTTAGTAATATGTGGTGTGTATGCAATACACAAGTGTCTGATCAAATTTCATAGTAATGCACCTGTCCTCAAATTAAAAAATTATAGCTGTATACAGACTCACTACCATGATTTACCATGTATATTTACATGATAGGAGAAAAGAATAGTGACCCTAACAACTTTCGTTATGAAGCATTCTTGTGATCTTTGCTTTGAGAAGTTTTTACACCTCCATTATTTGCAATAGGACCTTTATTTTTGGTATAGGGAATCCCCCTGGACCACAGAAGTGACGCTCTGTCCCATGTGACTCCTTTTAGATTTGTCTTAACTATAAAATATTAACAATGATCTTCTCTCACTTACTGCTTCAGGAAGTTTTTGGCGGCCAAAAACACTGAATGTTCCTAGCCTGGGCCTTGCTGCTGACATAGCTGAGAGTGCAGAGGACACCATATTGGGAACATTAAGTGACTGCCGGGGGGGGAGAGAACTGGATTTGGACTCTCCGCATTGTGCAACACTTGGAACAAACCTCAAATAGATGCTCCCTCTTCTTCCGAGCATAGAGTGGGAGGTGTACTAGGTTTTCCACAAGCATCTCCTGGCCCAGCATTAGTGGTCTGTATATACCCCATCTACTCCTGGAGAATCTGACGATAGTAGTCTTCCCAACTCAAGCAAGTAGAGAGACTGTCTAGACTCCCCTCAACCATCCTGCGGAGCTTCAATGGGGGCAGCTGTGCATGGAACCCGGGGTCAGCTGGGGACTCCAGCTGACCCCGGGTTCCTGTGGTGCTACCTGTTGAAAACGCCAGATTGGCATTTCCAAGGGGCAGCACTGCACCACGCTGGGGTCAGCTGGGGACTCCAGCTGATCCTGTGCTCTGCCTTGGGCTGCCCCTGTTGAAGGGGCTGCCCCGGAATGCCCAGCTGATCTCCGTCTCCTAATGCTCTGCCATTTGAAGCTTTGGACTGGCGCTTCAAAGGGGCCGGGGATCAGCTGGGCCCTCTGGGACCTACCTATACAACACAGATTTCTTGTTTTTGGGGTGGTTATTGGATATGTGAAGGTAAGTGTGGTCATCTTTGGGTTTCTTATAAATAATAGCTTAGAATTATAGAATGCTAGAACTGGACAGCACCTTGAGAGCTCATCAAGTCCAGTCCCTTGCCCTCACGGCGGGATCCAGTACCATCTAGACCATCCCTGATAGATGTCTATCTAATCTGCTCTTAAATATCTCCAGAGATGAAGATTCCACAACCTCCCTAGGCAATTTATTCCAGTGTTTAACCACCCTGACAGTTAGGAAGTGTTTTCCTAATGTCCGGTCTAAACCTCCTTGCTGCAGTTTAAGCCAATTGCTTCTTGTCCTATCCTCAGAAGCCAAGGAGAACAATTTGTCTCCCTCCTCCTTGTGACACCCTTTTAGATACCTGAAGACTGCTATCATGTCCCCTCTATCATCTCCTTTCCAAACTAAACAAGCCCAGTTATTTCAGTCTTCCTTCATAGGTCATATTATCTAGACCTATAATCATTCTTGTTGGTCTTGTCTGGACCTTCTCCAATTTCTTGAAATGTGGTGGCTAGAACTGGATACAGTAGTCCAACTGAGGCCTAATCAGTGCATAGTAGAGCAGAAGAATAACTTCTCGTGTCTTGCTCACAACACTCCTGTCAATGCATCCCAGAATCATGTTTGGCTTTTTTGCAACAGCATCACACTCTTGGGTTGGCTCATGTTTAGCTTCTGGTCCACTATGACCCCTAGATCCTTTTCTGCAGTAATCCTTCCTAGACAGTAGCTTCCCATTCTGTATGCGTGAAACTGATTGTTCATTCCTAAGTGAAGTACTTTGCATTTGTCCTTATTAAACTTCACCCTGTTTACCTCAGACCATTTCTTCAGTTTGTTCAGATCATTTTGAATTATGACCCTATCCTCCAAAGCAGTTGCAACCCCTTCCCCCCTAGTTTGGTATCATCTACAGACATAATAAGCATACTCTCTGTGCCAATATCTAAATCATTGATGAAGATATTGAACAGAACTGGTTCCAAAAGAGACCCCTGCGGAACTTCACTTGTTATATAAACCTTTCCAGCAGGATTGTGAACTCTTAATAACTACTCTCTGAGACTGGCTATCCAGACAGTTATGCACCCACCTTATAGTAGACCCATCTAAGTTGTATTTGCCTAGTTTATTGATAAAAAGGTCATGTGAGACTATATCAAATGTCTTACTAAGTCTAGGTATACCACATCCACCACTTCTCCCATATGCACAAGATTCTTTATTCTATAAAAGAAAGCCATCAGCTTGTCGGGTTCAATTGCTGATGCTGGTGCAAGAGTGTTCTTTGAATCGTCTCTTACAGTATGTATTAATTACATATGCTAAAAATCTGCTCTAGCTTGTATTTAGCTGATACACTGAGAATCTTTCTCAAGATTAAAGAAAAGGTCTGGGTAGCTCTATGTGTACCTCTCTTTCACCAACAGATATTACCACGGCCAACTTTTCTCTCTGATATTGCATTACTAGAATATTTACCCAGCATTGCTCAGGCTCTTAACTGAATTTTTGTTTTTTGAAAAATAAAATGAAAATTTATATGCTTCATTTCAGTCATTACTCTGGGATGAGGATGAGGGATTCAGTATGCAGACTGCTCTGGGGAGAGAGGACTACTCCAGCCTTTTCTCACTTGCAGCCTGGGACAAAGTGAGAAGCCATCTCTCTCTGTCAGGTGCATATCCCCAGCTAGGACAAGACCAGATTCTTCTGCCCTCTGTTCTCCCCAGCCAGAGCAAGGAATGCTGCAAACTGTGTTTTCCCCTCGCTCCCTGATGATGGGGAGCAGCTAGTAATGTTCTTGTACAAATGGGAGAAGGGGGCCTTGAACCCCTCTGACCTTCTGAAAGAGCACCTGGGGGGGAAGCCTTGGGACTGGGGCAGTTCCAGATGGGATGGGGGAGGGGAGACGGTCAGGTAGCCCTTTTCACCTGCTTGGTGATTCTCTTTCCTGTGTGGTTTTATGAGAAGCAATCCCATTCTAGGCACATCCCATTTTCCTGGCACAACCAAACCCTTACCTTACTTTAAGTTATGCATTTGTATGATAAAAGGAAGCTGTATTCCATAGTGGTCCTAGTACTTAATGTAACTAATGGACAAACAGACAGGGAAACTCTCTCAAAATATATAATAGTCTTTTTTTTAATTTTTCACTTTTTCTTATTTCTTCATGTGTAACATCTACTAATGGACTTACAAGCTTAAATCAAAGGAGTATATTCCAGGATGAAATATTTCAATAATTTCTTTAAATTGCTCATTTTGTGCTTCATTGAAGGAATTGTTAGTTAGCATAACAAAGATAAAATCACATTTGTTGTTTTTATAGCATAATCATTTATTGATCTTTGCTGTTGTATGGGCTGAAATCTAACAGAGGTTATTACTAATTTAAGCTACATTTTATAGCCACCTGAAGTCCTGAATCAGGAATTTTAATTATTACAATTTTATTTCATTGGCAAAGCTATCACAAAAAAAATCTCATTTTGCAGTATCTTCAAAATCAGCAGTGTTTTACTCTTCCTTTTAAGTGGACAAAATTTCACTTAGGGCCATAATTATCTAGCAGAAAGTAAAGAATCTTCTTAAATTTTAGGCATGATAACTTAGATGAATTCACAAACTGGTGTTTGATAATCGCTAAATACTAATCACACTTTTTGTTGTATAACCAGTTTTCACATTCTCCTGGTTAGAATGAGACTCAACAACCTACTGATTCAATATTGTGAAGAGTGGAAAATAAAATGGACCAGGCAGCTTTATTCAGAACCTAGTGTTCAGACCCCTTGCTCACATTCCAGATGTTTTTAGAAGTTAATAAACCTGTACCCCTCAATACTATTCACAATATAATCCTCTTTCTCTCTGACATCCAATAACAATTACTTCCACTCACTAGTCATACACATCAATGATTCCATCCATTCCTCTTCTTCATAGGTCTAGAGGCCTACAGATTTTTGTAATGTTTCTTAAGCAATTTTAATGATCTCATCATTTCCTTTTTAGTGTTTTTTAGAAGAGTTAAAAATTTCATTAAGAGAAATTAAAGCCTAATGTTTCATGAAATTATTTCATATTGATATAGAGATTTAAAAAAATGTCCCTGGAAAACTTCAGAAAACCAGTGGATTTATTTTATTATTCAGGAAAAAATCTAGATTCTCACAATGCTTGGGCTACCTGAAGACTTGAAACTGAACTTGTGCATGAACTTGCATGACAGTGTGGTATAAAATTGCTATGTTTAATAAATAGAGAAGATTTTAGGCATATTTTGATACTACACAGTCTCTAAACTATTGAATAAACAGTTTCTTAAATGCCGTATATTGATCAAGTATGTGCAAAATATTATGTCGCTGGCGAAAAGGATGTGCATATTTATAATTTTATTGTCTGAGGTTTTCTGAGATGAAAATTTTTCTTTTAACTTGTGGAAAAAATTGAAGTAATGTTTAGAAACTTGAAATACATAATTTATCTGTAGTGCATTAGCTCATTAGATAACTAGTAATTACTGCATGTATAGGAAAAACTTCAAAGCATATATAATTCACTAAAAATAGAATCTGGAAAAGAAGAACACAGTCAAAAATTGCATGTCCTCTAAAATGCCAGTTGAATTTAGGAAGATTTGAAGTTCCTATGTACAAAACAACTTTGTAATTCATGTGAATAGAAATACTGACTCTAATTGTTAAACTAAACTAATTGAAATTCAGAGTTTTCCTGAGTTTATTTAATCTGTTGAAATGAAAGAGCATTTAAGATCATAGTTAAGTGTTAAACCTGTAAATTGTTAATAGATACAAATTGCTTTATTCAGTCTCACTCTGACTAGAACTAAATGGTATTGTATGCTGATTTGTCAATAAAGCGAGGTTGTGCACAAAAGTGACCTTTATGTGTATTCCTTAATGAAAGCTTCATTTAATGAATTATTGTTGTTTGACGGCAAATTGGTTTGAAGAAAAGTTTCCAAATGCAATTAAGTTGAGAAAGGGAATAAGGGTTTTTGTCCTTGGTTCAGCATTAATCCATTTAGAGAAGTGTGAACTAGTTAATATTATGTCTTCTACTGCATGCTATTAGAATAGTAAAATGTACAGCTCAATTATACTTTTTCAGTTTGTATTGTTTTATCTTAATTTCTTCAGTTCAAATTGTATGCAAAACTTCAGTTCGCCTTCATTTAAGAATTTTTATTTTTTTTGCTTGTCCTAATCCCAACATGGCTGCCATCTTTCTTTGTTGTTGCTAATGCCTAGAGGCTCCAACCAATATTGAAACCTTACTGTGCTACTGTATTGTACATACATATTGCAGGCTCTTTTGGGTAAGGACTGTCTCCTATTGTCTAACTAAACAAGATGGAGAAGGGAGATACATTTTGTGTATTAAAACTGGGGAACCAAGTATCTATTTTTTTCCCCAAAATTGTATGCTGTCTTGAGGTAGAATGTATGAAACACAATGGGATTAAGGTGTTAGTATCGAACTAGGAGTTTTATTTGGCCATGACTCTGAGCTTTACGCTGGTGAGTGGTCCTAAGTTCCGCATGAATCTTATCAACTTCAATAAGACTGCTTGTGTGGGTAAGGACTACTTGTACTAAGAAGTTTGAGCTCCATACCCTATAAATTTTGAAGGATGAAACAAAGATAAACATCCATTCACAAAAGGCAAACTGATGTAAAAGAAAACTTCTAGGTATGTTTTAATTGTTCAGAAGCTTTTGTATTTTTCTCCTAGAGAAGCAGAGCATCCTATTTCATCAGTAGTCATTGATTTGCTATATCCTGCCCCCAAACACATGGGTCTGATTTGCATAGTTGCACAGGGAAGGAAGATGACACAAGGTACCCCCTTACATACCTGCATCAGTTGCTGATACTGCGGGTAATTGGGGAGGTAGCATAGCCTATTGCAATCCCCCATCCTTGCCCTTGCTCTGCTGCTTATTCTTGTGGACAGAAGGGAGCAAGGGACGAGTGTGATCTGTGACTCTACTCCCTCAACGTTCAGGCCAGCATAACTTTGTTGGTGCTTCAAGCTGAATGATCTGCACTCCAGATACAGAACCAAGAAAACACACTGAAACAGTCTCCAGAGAAAAGGGACACCAGATATTAGATTGTGGCCCTCTGAATCACAATCTACTTCTCAGTCTGTTCCTGGGGTAGCATAATGCCTTAGCTCAAAGCAACTCTTTAGTCAAAAATTGGATTCCTATAATTATATAATTCCTATATTTTGTATGTAGATATCTGTTCTTTTAAGTTTATAATTGATGCAGTTATGGTACGGTTTCATATTTGAATTATTGGTTATTTATGTTGTGAGGACTGAAATGGAATGCTAGGACTAATCACAGATATATTTTTGCCGCTTCTGGCAAATAAGATGTGACAATGTTTTTTTTCTCCCAGATACCTCTTTTACTAAGTTTTTACTGATGGACAATAATGTGAATTTTGTAAATTCTTTCTCTCTCATTCTTTTTTGTATCTTTTATAGGCTAACATTAATCATACTTCCTATGTCTATCTGATGTAACAATTTAAAATCTACTTTGGATAAGTGTTTAGTTGTAATGTATTGTTTTAATTTTTAAATTAGATCATAAGGTCTTTAGGGCAAGTTTTGCCTTTATTCTTTATTTGCACAGCATCAAACACTGCATGGCATTGAGCGCTATTATAACCTAATAAATAGTAATAATGATGTTTATGTATAAATTCCAATACTAATTTATAATTACAGCTATTAAGTTTTCTTAATACTTTTGTTACATTTTTTTTTAATTTCAGGTAGATGCTACTGAGAGTGAGCCAAAGAGTTTTATCTTCATGAGTGAGGATGCATTGACAAATCCAGATAAACTCATGGTTTTAATTCATGGTAGTGGTGTTGTCAGGGCAGGTCAGTGGGCTAGAAGGCTTATAATCAATGAAGATCTGGACAGTGGCACACAGATTCCATATATTAAGAGAGCTGTTGAGGTAAGTGTGTGTGAAAGAGAGAGAACAACCATCAGTAATCTCTGACATTTTTAAGTTTATATTAAATGTGTTCTTATAAACTAATTTTATTCATGATTGGGATGTTTTGTTTCCTTATTTTTAAAATCTTTTATCTAATACTTATACTGCAAGAGAGACATTTGTGGTGGCACTGCCATGTGGTATAATATGGCTGTTAGTGACAAAACCTTAAAGAAAGAAAAATAAATATAAAAGAAGGCAATCCAGAAATTAGTTAGGACTACTTTTAATTCTCATTAGATTTGTGTGATCTCGTTCCAATATCTATCATTAACCTCATAATAATATGATCATTTTAAATAAATCTCTGCAAGCTTTCTTAATCTTCTACTAAATGTTTTTGGGTGTGCAAAGGGCTTTTTTGTTGTTGTTTTCGCCTCATAAAACAAATCATATTCTGATATTAGATCTGAGATGTGGTGAATTCTGGTTCACATATTCATACCTGAAAATATAAAGTATTTACACTTTTGTGGACAGCATGCTAAATGATGTTCCCTACTCCCTACACACACAATGGTATGGATATGTAGTAATATATAGGAAAACAGTATGTAATTTGTGCAGTATTTGGAAAATTTCTACATCAGAATTCTCACTCACACTCTTAACTGAATTAAAACTTTCTGCACTAAACATCTGAAAATCATGTATAAGGATCCAAACTTTTTTCTGGTGATATTTCTACTTTAAGTTTAATTATTATTATTGCTCATTGCCAAATTAAGGCCTATCTTGATTTTAATCAAGGCACTAACTTTTTACTAAACTTTAAGATCTGAGAATTTATTTTTCTCTATCTGATTTTCAAGAAAATTCAAAACAGTTTAATTAAAATACT